GTGATTCTACTTATTCCATGCCTTATTTAATTTTATTTCAGCGATAACATTGAATAATTCAGTAAGGGTACCGTGGTTGAAGAAAAAGATCCTGGTGTTGTGATAAAAAAATCACTTAAGTCATTTAAACAGTGTATTGTACCTAACAATAGGGCTAATAGGCAGAAAATTTAACCGAGTTCAAGAAAATATTGGATGAATGCATGAGTAGTAAGGGGTGGTTATAGTTGGAAGCCTTGATGGGCTATAAGCTCCTTTTTGTCCCTTTAAAATTTTATGAAATTCAGCAGTTTATCCTTCCTCAGAAGCATTTGAAAAGTTAAATCCGTGGCTGATTGAGAAATACATTAAGCTACATACAAGACTGTATTGTGAGTAACTGAAAAGGAAGAGTGAAACCTGTTGTTTTTGGGCAGGGCCATAGGAAATGTTAGAGCCAGTCAGGCAACGGCCTGACGACCTTTTCATGGCATTTCCTAAGGAATTGATGGCTGAAAAAGCTTTTGTCGATTTAAAGCTGTCATGCATGACTTTTCTAATTGTTTAGCTGTGGCAATGGCCTGACCACTCCAAAATTGCTTCCTATGGAAGTATGGGAGGGATGAAGAAAATAATCAAAATCTGAGTCAAGAATCAGTTTATTTAAACTGCTTTTTCATATGTGTGTGTGATCAAATAAAATTGAGTCATTCAAACTATTTTAACTAAGTAGAACAATGGAAAATCATGAATGAGCAGTTAATGAGAAAATAACAATAGAAATATCTGCATGTTTTAATTGTACAATTATTATTATTACTATTAAAACTGTAATAAAAAGCAGAGGAGCATCATTAAACATAACTGAACATATTGAAAGGCTTAATCTTAACAGTATGAAGACCATCTAAAAAACTGACTTGATAAATATAAGATCACTATTAAACACAGCTGAAGAGCCCTGAAAGCTTTGATGTTAACCGTGTGAAAACCATCTCAAAACTGACTTGGCAAATGCAGTATCACTATTAAACAGTTGAAGGGCCTTGAAAGCTTTGATGTTAACAGTGTAATAACCTTCTCAAAGCTGACTCAACAAACAGAGGATAACTATTAAACACAGCTGCTGAGCCTTGAAGGTTTTGATGTTAACAGTGTGATAACCATCTCAAAGCTGGCATGACAAGTAGAGTTAAGTGTCATTGATAGTCACTAGCAAAAAAGAAAAAAGAAGGGCCAGATGAGTACTTCATTTCTTGTTTTTCATGTGTATTTTTTATTTATTATTATAAAAGTAACTGAAATGTAAAAATTAGAAACTTTTTAAGTTAGATAAGGTTAGATTACATAAAATAATGAATAATAATAAGTTTCCAAAATTGTTATATTAAGGTATGCTCACAAGCAGCCTGTGCATTGTGTAATTTGATAGGGTAACGTGAGCTACATGTTCACCAAGGATCACTATTTAACAGCTGGAGAGCCTTGAAAACTTTGATGTTAACAGTGTGATAACCATCTCAAAGCTGACTTGACAAACATAGGAGCACCATTAAACACAGATGAAGAATTCCAAAAGGATTAATGTTAACAGTTTGAAAATTGTTTCAAATTTATCTAACAAATAGAGGAGTACTACCAATTATACCTGAAGAATCTCAAGGGGATTGGTAATAAACCTTAGAAAAGGAGCACTAATAAACACAACTGAAGAGCCACAAAAGGATTGATGTTGACTGTTTGAAAATCCTCTCAAGTCTGACCTAACAAGTAGAGGAGCAATTCCAAACATACCTGAAGAACCCTAAAATCATTGACAGGGTTTCTATTGTTGCTAAAGGAACACTACCAAACTTAGCTGAAGAGCCCCAAGTATATTGGCAGGTCTTCTACTGGTGCTAGAGGAGCACTAACAAACATAGCCAAAGAGCCCCAGAATTATTGGCTGGGTTTCTACTGGTGTTAGAGAAGCACTAACAAACACAGCTGGAGAGTCAAAAATCATTGGCAAGTCTTCTACTGGTGCTAAAGGAACACTGCCAGACATAGCTGAAGAGCCAATATATTTGGGGGTGCTCCTCTAGCACCGGTAGAAGCCCTTTACAGCTATGTTTGGTACTCCCAATATATTTGGGGAAAGGGCTTCTACTGGTTCTGGAGGAGCACTACCAGACATAACTGGTGCTTGCAAATGACAGCAATTAGGTAATTTTATCAAAGCGACTAAAAAATAATCAATACTGTTGAAAGTTTTATGAAAATTTTTTATAATCGTGAGGACAAAATAGTTTGGTGGATTTGATTATCAGAGACTGCTAATCGATATTGAATTTGATCAACAAATATTGCTAAGCATTTTTTTAATATTCATCATTTTAACACATTATGGCAACTATTTCCAGCACTAAAAGTCTTAACTCTTTGTGAAGACATTCACTAATGGAAAAAGAGGTAAATGGTATGTTTTATCTAATACACTTTTATTCAGCTT